TCTAAAAGACAGGCTATGTATATGCTGTTGAGGGTGGTGTAGACCGCCCTGGCGGGCCAGTTAGTCTAGGGGTTGTAACCCGCCTGGCAGGTCAGTTATTCCAGGGTCCCGGAGAGGCGCTACCTGAAAAGACATGGGCAGGAAAGAGGAAGAAGGCCAAGCAAGATGTTGTCAAAGCCTCCGTTTATTAGCATCATGGTTGCAGCTTATATAGCCCCTGGATGAGGAATTTGGGTTGGGATGGGGGCAGGGCCAGGGCAGGAAGGGATCTTGCAGCGATGGTCCCAGCCAGTCATGAGGTTATCGGCCAGGCAGTTACGATTGGTCAGGTCACGATTCCTCAGTCAGGAAGTCACGAGTTGACACACCTAGTTCTCTAGATAGTTGGAATGTGGGGCGGGTTCCGCTAACAGATAGCTCTCAAGATAATTGGGTGTGGGGTAGGCTCTACCAACAAAACAGTTCTTAATACCGTTGGGGTGTGGAGCTCTCTGCAAACTCCCCAGGACAATGGTCCTTGCAATACTTTTGGGGGGAAATGGCTCCTGACAGGGTGGAACCAAAAAAGTACTTTATTTTTAATAAAACAAAAAAGACATTTAAGAGATTTTAAGTTTTCTTTTTTTTGTTTTTTTTTTAAATATTTATTTATTATGTATACAATATTCAATCTGTGTGTGTTTGCAGACCAGAAGAGGACAGCAGACCTCGTTACAGATGGTTGTGAGCCACCATGTGGTTGCCGGGAATTGAACTCATGACCTTTGGAAGAGCAGGCAATGCTCTTAACCACTGAGCCATCTCCCCAGCCCGAGATTTTAAGTTTTTATATAAATTCATAAAGCTGTGAGATATCTGTGCTATAAGATGTTTTATATTATGTTTTATATTGTTAGGGTTTAAGCTATTTAGATAAACTAAATCATAATTTTTTGTATTAATACTAAGAGGTTTAGACCTCCTCTTCTGGAAAAAAATATTGTTTCTGTGTCAATCACTCTGAGGTAATTAGAGATTCAATGGCCTTGTTAATGATAGAGAGCAAAACACTCACAGGGAAGCTGGATGAAAACTTGTTCAACTGGTCTCCTTGGTTAATCTTACTTCCAGCTTTAACAGGCCCCTCATGATCTTGCTTCTTCTTATCAACAGATTTGAGCCCTTGGACAGGACCCATGATGGATTCCTGTAATCAGTATTTGTGAAGGGCAAAAAATAAAGAGCCCAGAGCAGCATTCTCAGGTCAGCTTGGTAGATCAACAAAAAGGTAGACCTTAGTCTCAGTTACCTAGGGCAATGCCAGGTCTTAGACTACCTCATGCTCCCATTTCACCCTCGGACCTGTTCCTTGACTTTGCAGGAGACAGCATTAACAGCGAGATATAAACTTGTTCTGTGCTTACCCTCGGAATGACTAATTCAGTTTCTTTATTAGCTTTACAGAGTATGGAGTTCTTATAAAAGTGGCTAACTTATTATAGACTGTTAAAAAACAAAAGTTATTCATCTTTAAAGTGCTGATATAATTAGTTACAGGAATAAGCTTTATTTAGTTCCCTGTATATGTTTTCAAAGTCAAACTTAAAGCAAGTAATAAAAAACAAAGTTTGTCTAATAGGACATATCTAGGCAGCCCTCATACTTCAGAGATCTACAGAATATGGCATTTAAAATAATGATTAAAAAGCTTATTACATTAGACAGAGACTCTGAGATCCTAGCAGTAACCCAAGGTCTCCAAAGAAGATTATGAGACACTATGATGTCTCCACCTGGATTACGATGATGCTGGCCACTGGGTGAGATGCCCCAGTGCAACACCTGCGGCCAGGACCCGGTCCAGACTGTGGACAAACAGCAGGAAGGACCCTGGAGAACTGATTGCACCACTTTTGCCTAGACAAAATAAGGTCAGTCTTTTCCATGTCCCTCTTCCACAGAAAAAGAAAAGTTCACCCTTTGGGCCTGGCTTAGACAGTAAGACTGCTGTTCTGGATATTTCTGCCTCCAATGCTATGGAGACCTGGGTATGACTAACTGTATATGGACTCTTGTCCCTTCATTTTTAATAGATTCAGAAACTATTTGGCCTGTACTCAGATATGCTTTATTTATCCTTCTGAGATCTCTGATAGTATTGATGGCTAGGGCAGTTATAATGTCAGTTTAATAGCAAAAGGTATCCAGATCCTTCCACAAAGCTATAGCCAACTTGTTAGCTAGGACTCAAAGGTGTGAGAGTCAATACCTCCTGTTTATAGACATCTGTTATCTGCTCTTTTTCTAAATATTAATTTCTGTTCCCGGTTTAAACTTATCTCAATAGGCTTCCACTTGGTTGGCAGACACATCAGTTGCTGACTACAACCTGCTCTGAATGGCGGTGAGCCCTGGACTTCCTGAAAGCGGATGTGAACCAGTCCAGCTGATATGAACACTCCCAGATCCTTCAACGGAGTCTGATGAGGGCCCCATTGCCTAAATGCTCCCCCACTTTGGCTAGCCTTTCAACCTACTTGGGCCTGGATAACAATGCCCCAATGTCAGCTTGAAGTTGTTGTGAAAAGAAACACGTCTTTCGATGCCCCCTGCCCAAAATAGGTCAAAAGGCAGACAAAGCGGATACTCCCTGGCATAGGGGACAAGATAACTACCTATAGTGCCTGTTAATATACTGGGTGCAGAGTTGTCAATTAATAGGCTTATTAATATAAGTTAGTTTCATGCCTCCTTAAAAGCAGGGGCAAGCAGGACCCAAGATTGGGTCCGGTCTTAGGTGCTCTTGAAGGGGGAAATGTGAGGGCCAGCCATGATAAGCTAAGTCTGAGCAGGTCACCAGAAGGAAGTTCTTTACTTCCAACCATTATCACCTGGGACTCTGGCCATTGATGAATTTAAATGGAGGCTGAAGGCTCAGTAGTTTACCCTAGGCAATGCCTAGCTGCAAAAGGAACCACAAGCTGAGTTACCTGACCCCCACCCCAGAACAGACCATTCAAAGGAAATGCCTGGCATTCCAAGCACTGTAGGTAGGATCACCTGCCAGGGCACTTTCACCAGGACACCCTAGACAAATGTCAGCCAATCAGGGGTCTTAAAATCTGAAATCACCTCACCCCCACCTTTACTACTATAAAATCCTATTCAAATTGAGCTTGGGGGGGGTGGGTCTTTGGTTATTCTAATACTTTGGACTCGCGGAGAGACCGAGTGTGCCAACTTGTAAAATAAAGGCTTTTTGCTTTTACAAATGGGACTCAGTTTCCTTGTTGACTTTTGTGGGGACTGCACAGACTTGAGCACAACACTTTTATTTCATGTCTTCATTCACCATGCAAGCCAGATATAGACGCGGCCCCTGGCAGTGGGGAAACCAGAGACTTTTAGTGATAGTTCAGTAGTGCTGCCCCACTGCCTGCCCCCCCCATTCCTCCTCCCCCAGTGTTTGGAACCTGTGTTCCCACTGCCCTGGAGTACCTGCTGGGGGTGGGGCCACAGTCCCCAGTTGCCTGTTCTTCCTTCCACTCAGGGGTCAATCAAGTTCCTTTCCTGAGCCCACGAGCCCCTCAAGATCTCTGGCTTCCTCCACCAGGCCCACCACCCTGACCCCCAACTAGAACTCTTGGTTATCCAGCTCCCCCAGGAGATGGAGCTTCCTTTTTAGTATTGATGTCTTTATTTATCTCTCACTAAATGCAAACCCTGAAGCAATAAAAACAACGTGGCTCACTCATAGCACCCTGTTAACGAACTAATCAATATAATTCACACACCACAAAATCCATACACTAACAGGTACATGGAAAAGAAAAGCCAATGATTGCCGGGAGAGATTGCCATGGTCAGGGTTGCTAGTGAGAGGTGAACAGGGAGAAAATGGGGGAGTCATAATCACATTCACCCATCATCCCAGATCCTTGCCTGTACCACAAGGTGCAAGGTTGGGCCAGGCTCTATTCTATGTGCTTAGCATGTTATGGTTTATTTGAGACAGGGCTTCATTAAGCCCAGGTTAGCCTCAAAGTGTGTGTAGCCAGGAGCTGATGATGACCTTGAACTCTTGATCCTGCTGATTCTTCTTTCTGATTACAGGTATACACCACCACACCTGTTTTGTGTGCTGGGGCTCAAACTCATGGCTTCAGGCGTAAAAGGCAAGTGCTCTACCAACTGAGATTCGCCTCAGTCTAAGTGTTCCTGCTACTGAGCTACCTAACTGGACCAGTGTAGGTTTTCATCTGTGAAACTGTGTTGTTACCTCTGTGTTATAGAGTAGGAGACACAGAGCTGTTCTCATTTGTCTGAAGTTCCAGAGTTAGCAAGAAATAGCCAGCTGCAGAGCCAGCCATCACTCTGTGCAGCCTACCTCCCACTCCGATGAGCCCTCGCTATGCCCATTCTAAAGAAGCATAATGAAGCCCAAGTGGGCAAGATGAAGTCAAAGTAGGGGGAAGGAAGGTCCCAGTTGAGACTGTATACATGCAACCATGCGCACAGCCTTGAAATTTCTTCTTCTTCTTCTTCTTCTTCTTCTTCTTCTTCTTCTTCTTCTTTTCCTTCTCCTTCTCCTTCCCCTTCCCCTTCCTCTTCCTCTTCTTCTTCTCCTTCCTCTTCTTCTTTTTTTGCATATGGACACAGCCCAGCTGATGTCATAGGCACCACAAAGTCTTTATCACTGGACAATTAGCTCACTGCCTATTGCTGGAGGAGCCAGCACGGTACAGGGCAGAGGAGCACCAGTTTTCCAATAAACTGGTGAGTACGGGCCTGGGAGTTACAGGGGGAGACATTTTGGTAATGTCTACACCGGGTCAGGGACAGGAAAGGCAGGAAGGCAGGAAGGATGAACCTGCAGGGAAGAGTAAGTGGTAACCGGGTGGTGGGGGTGGACAGTGATGGCAGCACTCCAGCCTGGTGGGTAAGTCTCGTGGTGGGGGAACAGGACACTTCCTGACTCCCCGCATTATCTCCCTGTTCACCTCTCACTAGCAACCCTGACCATGGCGGCGAGCCTCTCTCCCGGCAATCATTGGATTTTCTTTTCGGTGTACCTGTTCGTTTTCCTCGTGGGACTGCCCCTTAACTTGATGGCCCTGGTGGTCTTCGTGGGCAAGCTGCGCCACCACCCGGTGGCTGTGGACTTACTTTTGCTAAACCTGACCCTTTCGGACCTGCTCCAGCTGCTCTTCCTGCCATTTCGCATGGTGGAGGCAGCCTATGGCATGAGATGGCTAATGCCCTTCATCTTCTGCCCTCTCTCAGGGTTCTTTTTCTTCACTACCATCTACCTCACCGCCCTCTTCCTGACGGCTGTGAGCATCGAACGTCTTCTGAGTGTGGCCTATCCAGTGTGGTACAAGACCCGGCCACGGCTGGCCCAGGCTGCTGTGGTCTGCGGTTTCTGTTGGTTCCTGGCATCAGCTCATTGTAGTGTGGTTTATGTCACTGAATACTGGGGAAATGCCACCTACAGCCAGGAGACCAATGAAACCTGTTACCTGGAATTCCGGGAGGACCAGCTGGCTGTGCTCCTGCCTGTGAGACTAGAGATTGCTGTGGTCCTTTTCATGGTGCCCCTGTGTATCACAAGTTACTGCTACAGTCGTCTGGTGTGGATTCTTAGCCAAGGAGCCAGCTGGCGCAGGCGGAAGAGGGTGATGGGGCTTCTAGCAGCCACAATGCTCATCTTCTTCGTCTGCTTCGGCCCCTTCAATATGTCCCACGTGGTGGGCTATGTCCAGGGTGAGAGTCCATCCTGGCGGAATTCTGTGATCCTCCTCAGCACCCTCAACTCTTGCATAGACCCTCTTGTCTTCTACTTTTCATCCTCCATGTTCCAAGCCGAATTTCAGCAGCTCCTGGGAAGGCTGACCAGAGGTTGTGTGCGTTGGACTCATGAAGCCAGCTTGGAATTGACGGTAAAGAACGAAGAAGAACCGTCCAAGGAGTGTCCAAGCTAAAATAAAGGAAAGACCAAAGAAGGTGTGTGGAACCATTGGCCCATTGCCTTGACTGGCAGCGATATCTCCAGGGGACGGGAAGGAGTAGGCAGGTGTGTCTGCAGGCATTCATTCTTAACTCTGGACAGATGAGACTCCTGTGACAAGCTGAAGACACAGCAGTCACTCAGCTCTCCAAGGATGTGCTCACATTCTGACTCTCCATGTCACCATCCTTCTCATCCCCTCATACGCCCAGGATCCACTCTGGGATGTTGTAATGGGACAGACTTCTCTAGAAGGAATAGTCCAACCTCTGCTGCACACAGCAGGCTTCAGTGCCTTCTGGGGTGGGAGTGGGGGTGATGGGGGAGGTGGAGGGGTGGGGGAGGCTGCTCAGCTCTGGAATTGAGCTGGGGAACTAGGGTGGGGGAAGCCACTGACTCCTGACTCTTCAGAGTGGGGGAGACAGGAATCTAGGAGTGAGGAAATAGCCTGCCTTGGTGAAGGGTTTTCCAGAACGCCCACTGTTCCATAAATTCAGATCTTCTGGGATACTTATGAACAATGGAGGGCAAAGAGAAAAATTATCCAAATAAATTCCAGACATAGCAAAAGAAAATGATGTTTTCATATCTTCTTGATTTTTCTGGGTAGTGTAGGTGGTAGATGAAGGAACGGGATGGAGCAAAATTCCTAAGTCCCTGCGGAGGATCGGGCTTGGAGGAATGAAACTGAAGACAATTTTATCTTTAAGTTTATTTATTTATTTATTTTTATTCTTTTATTTTTTATTTAGGGCTGGGGATGTAGCTCAGGTGGCAGAGTGCTTACCCGGCAGGCACAAGCCCTGCTTCCTGTCCCTGGCACTCTATAATCCAGATATGGCTGTGTCCATCTGTAACCTCAGCAGTCGGGAAGAGGTGGCAGCAAGGTCAGAAGTTAAGGGTTGTCCTCAATTATCAGCCTCGATACAGGAAACCCCATCTCAAAAAGAACCAACAAACAAACAAACAAACAAACAAAAAAACCAAATTCAAGAAGTTGCTGAGAACTTGAATGAAATTCCTGACTTGAACTGGGGGATCTCAGCATGATGTAAAAACCCAGGTCACGGGCTTGCACGAGAAGAGCTGTTTTCTATGAACAAAACTGAGTCTTGTTTGTGAAAGCCTTAGAAAACTTTAGGCTTACATCTGTGAGAGGAGCCAGGCCACAGGGTTCAGGTCTCAAGTACTGGCTCACAGCTGTTTTGACATTGAAAATATCTATTATTTTTGTGTTTGAGTTGTTAACATGCCTGTGTGTATGTCTGTGTAGCATGCGTGTGTCTGGGTTCCTCTAAGGTAACAGAAGACATTGGATCCCCTGGAACTGGAGTTACAGATGGCTGTGAGTCACTGTATGGATGCTGGGAACCAAACCCAGGTCCCCTGCAAGAGCAGCCAGTGTTTTTAGCCACTGAGCTCTCTAGCACTTTTTTTGTTTTTGAGACAAGGTCTCACTATGTAGCCCTAAGTGGCTTGGAACTTATGTGCCGACAGGGCTGGCTCTCAAATCACAGAAATCTGCCTGCCTCTGCCTCTTCTACCACCACACATCCCATCCTGCCTCACTATTATTTGTGGTTGTTGTTGTTTGGTTGTTTGGTTGATTGATTGATTTTCCTGAGGCGAAGTCTCATTTCATAGTCCTGGAACTCAGAGACCCACGTGCCTTTGCCCCCCTACTGCTGGGTTTAAAGGTGACAGTCACCACTGCTGTTACTTTAGTTTTGTTTTTTCTAAAAGAGAATCTCTTTGTAACCCAGGCTGACCTCAAACACTCCACCTTACCTAAACCAGGCACCTGAATCCTGGGATGACAGTTGTGAGCCACTGCTCCTGGCAATCTTTTAAAATAATGGGGGAAAAAAAGCCCATGCTTGTTGGGATCTTGGATACAATGGAAGCAAGTCAGGGCCAAAGAAGCCAGGTGAGAGCCAGGAGCAGTGGGTGTCCTGTGGAAACAAGCTCACTCCCTGCCCAGGCCCCTCGCCAAGAGTGAGCAGCTCAGGGTGGACATGAAGGTGCAGATTGTGCTCTCCAGTGCCTAAGTGTGACCCACAGGCTTGCAGGGAGGCTTGCTGCTTCCATTCCCAGAGGCCTCCAGCCTTGCAGAGGTTTGTGGAGAGTCTCTCTGATTAGACCTCACAGGCATCTTCAACATCAGACAGTGGTTCCCAGCCTCCCTAATGCTGTGATTCTTTAATACAGTTCCTCAGGTTGTGGTGACCCCAACCATACAATTATTTCATTGCTACTTTATAACTGTAATTTTGCTACTGTTACATACAATACAAATATGTGATACACAGGACATCTGATAAGCAACCCCCATGAAAGGGTTTTTTAACCACCCCCCAAAGGGATAGTAGCCTACTGTTGAGAATCCACTGTCTGAGAAGGTCACTTTGGGAATTCTTTATCAAAACAATTCCCTGCAGACAGAGGTGCTTGCCTGTCAGGGTCCTAAATCAAGGCAGCCTGGGGAACAGATCAAGACCCTGTCTCCAAAGTTAAAAGGCCTAGGAATGTAGCCTCACAGTGGATCGCATGCATAGCAAGTACAAGACCCTAAATTTGATCCTCAGCACAGCAAGGAAAGCAAGTAAAATAATTCTTGCTTACTCTTCGAAAGATAACAAGAGCACAGGTGTCTGTCCTCAGCCCCCCTGAGCTGCAGGAACCCTGCTCCCTGTGGCCCCCTCTTTGTTCTGTTTGCTCATGAGCTCCGAGGAGGACTCCACTTGCCCTATTTCAGCTAAGTTTGCTTTGCTGGTACAGGGCATCCATTGACAGAGAGCAGGTCAGTGGTTGCTATGGGCTGGGAAGAGATTAAATGGAGATATGGATGGAGAAGATGCCCCTGGGAAATAACAGGTGATGGAGAAATTCTATAACTTGATAGAACTGGAATGTCAAGTCATAAGTCAAAACCATGACCTCAAAGTGGATGAATATTCATGCATGTAAGTCAACCGCGGTATGCTTGTGTGTTTGTGTGTGTGAAGGGAGAGTTTGGGTGAGCTATATTTGTGTCTGCTTGTTTGTTGTGCTCACACCTATACACACAGAAGGAAGACTTTGATCATCTGCTCTCTCCCACCTGAAGGTCTGAGTTTGATTCCTGGAACCCACACAATGAGAGAACTAATCTCTTCTACATCGTCCTTGGTCCTCTTCACACAGACTACCCGTTAGGTTTAGATAACATGCAGTTCAGTTCCTAGAGTGCCAGCAGCAGGCTCGAGGGGCAGCCAGGTCCCACCACAGGAGGCCTCTATAGGTTCCAGGTGGGTGGGAGGTGGCCGGTGAGAGATCTTGGTGGATTGGAGGCAGGGCAGCTGGTACCATGATTAGGCCTGGCTGGTGCTAGACAAAGACTGATAGGCAAGCCACATGGAGAGGGGGTTTGGGTGTGCTTTAGTCAGTGGGTTATGGGAGGAAAGGGAAGGGGAGGGTAGGAGCCACCGCAGCAGCCACCTCTTACAAAGAGAGATGGACCAGAGAGAGCACAAGCTGAAAGTAGAAGGAAGATCTGCTTGCCTAGGAGAGTTTGTGTAGGTGCACCCATGGAGGTGCATACTGGTGATATGAGTGAGGTCCCTCCCTCACCATGTGGGTTCCTGGGGATTGGACCCCATGGCCAGGCCCTGAGGCAAACACCTTCACCTGCTGAGAACCATCCCACTAGCCCTTTATTTTGTTTTTGTTTTGAGACAGAATCTTGCTATATAGCCCATGGTGGTGTCAAACTCATCACTCTCCTGCCTCTGCCTCCCAGGTGCTGGGATTGCAGGCATGCAGCATCAAGCTGGTAACTATCTTTATTGCCTCAAAAAGTCACAGGAAGGGATTGACCTAGATGTTCGAGCCTGTGAAAGTCACTCTGTGATGTCCACAGGCCCCTGGAATCCACTAACTGGGTCTCTGTCAAGGTTCAGCCTCGACAAAAATACCTTTCTCCAGAGTAGAGGTGTGAGAATTCAGAAATAAAATAAAGAATGTGAAGATGCGAATGAAAATAATGAGATGTAAAAACATATAGGATAGTATTGGGAGGAGATTCTTCAGTGGGTACTGAAAATTCGCCCACATTTAATTTCCAACTACTTAAAATACCCCTGACCCCAAAAGGTAGGAGTAAGACAAAAGACTGCATTAACATGATACAAGGAAATGAACATACCAATAGAAAGTCACAGGCCACATTTATAGTTAAACATTCTGTTGCTAAACAAAACATGTCACCAAGTCACGTTCATGCCCTAGACCAAAACATTCCATAGGCAAATCACTCCCTAGGTGGAATCTCAAGTTATTTCCATAAAGGGAACTGGAACTTGGCTGGATCCTTAGACTTTTGTTTGATGTAGGAACAATCTACTTCCCTATTCCTGGAGCACAAGGTCTGGCAGTTAGCCACATCTGTTGACTATAATCTTGAGAGAGTTGTGTTTGGTTGCAAGTGGCACCTCAGCTCCCTGGCACTCCTTTATCCAAAGAGTCTGGAATGTTTGATTGGGGGGCTTCTCCTTAGCCTCCGACATCCATTTTGAAATGTTGGGTAGAAAGATCCATTTCAAGTCCCCTACCCTGAGAGTTGCCTCAATCCAAACTCCACCTCCGAGAAAGTCCACCAAACGGTGACCCCTCCCCAGGAAGGGTCAGGACCATTCCCACAGGTTATTTAAACTGTCCCCCAGAGAATGAACCCATGGTCTCCTCTTTTCCCTCTCCTGTGGTTTTTCCGACCCTCTACTCCGAGTTTTCCCAGGGGCCACGCAGGAGTCCTGACATCCATTAAAACTGGACATCTAATTCAGTCTGATTGGGATTATTGTATCAGTGGAGAGGCTTTTTGGTCAGAAATGACTTAACAAGCAGAACTCTCTGACTTACAACTAGGTGGGATCTTTGTCTGAGGTAGAATCTGGTTTCTTCACGATAACCTTGAAGAAACCAGAAACAAGTCCCAAA